TTTATGCGTCTGAGGAAGGAGGATAGGTTGTTGTAAAAACATGGATATGACTTAGGTCTGGTTTGTGATAACGGAAACCGCGAATATTCCAATGTAGGAGAGCTATGTCTTAGTTATTTTATGAGTTAAAGTGCCGGTACGTGGGGAATCTGGGGGGGGGGGGGAGCTAGGGTGTGTAAAGGAGGGGTATCAGGAGGTAGGGAATCTGGGGAAGGGCATTGTTGTGACATGATTGATTTCCGTGTGTATCCAGGAGGGAGTGGAAGGGATAGAGGGGATGGATGGAGGGAGAATGTGCGCATAGTTGGAGTTGAAGGGGGTGGGTTGTGTTGGGAGGGAGTAGGAGGAAGTGGTGTGGGGGGAATATTAGTGGTAGGTGGATGGATATCGGAAGGATGGATAGTTGGAGTTGAAGGGGATGTGTCTTGGGAGGGATTAGGAGGAAGGGGTGTAGGGATGCTATGAGTAAGAGGGGATGGATTTCAGGAGGATGGGTATCGGGAGGATGGTTATCGGTGGTAGACGGAATTGAGGGGGAATATGAGTAGGAGGGGTATGGATATCGGCAATCACTTCAAGAGTTGAGGGAGCATGAGTTATGGAATTTTGTGTCTCAAACATATAGCTTTGAATGTCATCCATAGTTTCTGATGTGGAGTTGGTTGGAGAGTTTTGTGGGACAAAGGTTTTCTTATGAGGGGGGAAGAGGAGATTGGTGTCTGAGGAATAAAGGCAAAGGTAGGTGGAGGTGAGTGTGCGGTAGGGGAAGGAGTGGAACGTTTAGTCTGTCTACTGCGGGTAGTGCGGGGAGGGAGAGGGGATGGTGTTGGGGCTGTAGTTGAGATTGGAGCTGTAGTTGAGATTGGGGTGTCTGGATTTAGAGTGGCAAAAGAATTTGACGGGGAGGTAGAATGTAGAAGTGGAAGTGGGGAAATAAGCAGTTATAGTGGAGGGTGTAGAGGGGCAGAGCGAGTGAGATTACTAGAGTAGGGAGTATGTTTCTCTGTGTGTGTGTGTGTGTGTGTGTGTGTGTGTGTGTGTGTGTGTGTGTGTGTGTGTGTGTGTGTGTGTGTGTGTGTGTGTGTGTGTGTGTGTGTGTGTGTGTGTGTGTGTGTGTGTGTGTGTGTGTGTGTGTGTGTGTGTGTGTGTGTGTGTGTGTGTGTGTGTGTGTGTGTGTGTGTGTGTGTAATGCAATTAGTATAACTTGTTAAACACTTGTGTCCGACTGTTTGTCTCTAATAATAATAAAAACAATAATGATACCAATGATAATAATAATGATGCTGATGCTCATGATGATGGTGATGGTGGTGATGAGGGTGTTGATGATAAGGTAGTTATGATAATATAAATAACATTCTCATCTTAATGAAAATGAGGCAATAACTTCTTACCTATGGCAGATCTATAAAAATAAATAATCATCTCGCCAGCTGCTAACATCTATCTATTGGCATTATTTATCAATCTTTTCAAAACTAATTGCATTGCAGTTCTATTTAGTTATATATACTAATCTCATAAGAGGTTCAGAAAGTTACTCTTAATTGGGAAACTGAAGTGCTCACTGTAATTTTGTTTTGTGAAATATGTTAGCACACAGATGCTCTATCACTAAGGAAACATGGATTAACCTTGTGCCTGCACCTGATTTCCCCTTTCTTTTGAGTTTTTGGAAAAATTGTTTATACTAATGCTAAACCATATTCATGTTGACAAGTGTAGAAAGGTATGAATAAGAATGAATATCATGTATTTCTTACGAAGATATATTTGAAACCGGTCAAATACATCTCTTTTGTGAAGATATTCATTCTTATTCATACCATTCTACAAATACTAATGCTATCAGTATCAATGTAGTATAGACATTATCAATATCATTATGTTATTAAACATTACTGATAATAGCAATATGAGATATGATGAGAAAATGTTTCTGAAAAACAAGGAAAAGGGTAAACAGGAGATTGTTAGTACTAGTAATCAAGTCCCTGATGGCAAAACACTAAACTCACAATGGGCATGGCATGTGTGTACATGCCACCCTCGACAGCATTGGGTTATGTGATGTGCACATTCTTTCTAAATCATTTCAAATTAGTGGGCTGGAATAGCACACACATACAGAGATATATCAAATGGTGTACATATATATACAATAGATGATGTATGTGTATATATATTATTTGTGTGTGTGTGTGTGTGTGTGTGTGTGTGTGTGTGTGTGTGTGTGTGTGTGTGTGTGTGTGTGTGTGTGTGTGTGTGTGTGTGTGTGTGTGTGTGTGTATGTGTGTATGTGTGTGTGTGTGTGTGTGTGTGTGTGTGTGTGTGTGTGTGTGTGTGTGTGTGTGTGTGTGTGTGTGTGTCCATTAATGTGCATGTGCACATTAATACACATATCATATATATAATGACAATTCTTATTATTACTTTATAGCATGTTTAATAATTAAATCATTTTAATTACCAGTAAGTTTTCAGAAATGCATTTAAAGTTGCATTATGATATATGGTTCTGACAATTAAATTTTTAAAAAAGGAATTTTCTTTCAGGAAGTCTCTACTGTAGAAGCATGAAGTTTATAAAAAAAAAAAAAAAAAAAATTATCATTCTTACATTCTATACTTCACTTGAGTCCTTCCAAGAAAACAAAGGCATTTTAATGATCTGTCATGAACAAGAAAATCTTTTCAATACAAGAAAAACTTGAAGGAATCGACACCTCAAACAAATAGTTTCCATACAACGGACTTTATTGGACTAGATGAAACAATTACACTCCTCAAATTGATAAATCAGAAACACAAGTACATTAAGGGAACAAATAAATTCAAATAAATAGAAAATAATCAAACTGAGGAAAGATAAAAAAGAAAAAAAGAAAAATTCTAACCTCCATGACAACAGATAGTCAGAATTAATTTTTAATCATTTTTTGAAACAGAAATCAGAAATTTTATGTATTACCTTAAAAAATTTATATCCTATCTTATGAATACATTAAATCCTTTAGTCAAGTGACCATAAATCTTTTATAACATCTAATATATGGAATGCAACACTTTACAACACTAACTACTACCACGTTGCTTCAACAAGAATATATGTTCTACATAAAATAGCATTGATGAAATAAACTATTGCATTTTTTGCTAAACATATCACAAACACAAAAGTCTTCTCTTTGTATGATATAAACCATATGCAAATGTTTTCAGTCAGGTAAAAATCATTAAAAACTATTTATATAGAATTAATTATGATAATAATAATGATAATCTCAAAAATAAAAACATGTAATGTTGAAGTAGTGTTGCAAGAAGTACAAGAGCAAGATCCTACAGATTCTGATCATTGACACAGTAATGTCCACCAATAACAAGCATACTTCTTGACACAGCTCAACACCATACACAGATTGCATGTGCTACACATCTCAAATAGAAATAATAGAATATCTATACTGGCACTGTGAACTGGTTATATATTCTTATATACATTTACAATTGTAAACTATAGTGAAAATGAACATTTACCATAATACTCATGTTTTATTAATCTGTTTGACTTTTTAAAGATTGAATCAAATCATTGTGCAATGAAATTGCAGAATACCAAATAGTTTATGATTACATAAAAGCATGTAAATATGTATGCACGTATGTATGTATGTCCATACATATATACAAATATTACACTGTAAGCTAAACCAATAAATCTTTTTTCTTTATGTGTCTGAATGCTTTAAAAAAATATCAGGTGCTATATGGAAAGTATTAGTAAAGCACCAGTGAATATGCGTCATTTGTCTTCACATTTATATGAAGTTTCAGTTTGTTCTTTACATCTTCTCATTCTTTTACTTTATTTTTGACTTTGTCATAAAATTAATATCTAAGGCCACTTCACCCAAAATGAATAAATATCAAAGTCAAAATATATCCATAAAGAAATAATACTGATCCTTTTTCAAGATCTTATTAAAAAAATGCAAAATAATCCCAAGTGCCTTATCAGTAATAAAGCAATTACCATCTTAGAATATAATATTTAACTTCATTACCACATAAGCAAAACTCACATGTAATTGCTTTTTACAAATAATGAAATAAATAAGGAATAACCTATGAAAATACAACAATATTACCCAAAGGCTACTGTTTACTGGGTGATTGGAACTAAAACCAATAATCAAGGTGGCCTCAAACGCACCCATAGCCCCAATACCCAAGTTTCATTGTATCTATTGAAATATCATTTTCTTAATCATTAAGTACAACCTATCCTTGGACAAATGGCAACATAATTTTGAGGTGACACTATCATAATCTGTATTAACCAATAAAAGTTTAGTTCTTTGTAATGCTCTAATTCAACCCTGAGATAAAATACAAAAAAAAAAGGGGAAAAAAAGAGAGAAACTCTCAATGAGCCCTTTCATAAATCATTATAAAATATACAACAACGGTGGCTAATTTATCTTTACTTCTGCTAACTATTTTCATAATAAACCATTTCTTATTATAAGCAGGGCAATACTGGGGCAATTTTATAATCTATGGGCGTAATGCTCACTTGAAAGCTATATAAGAAATATTCTTACTTTTCATCAAGCATTTAAATGTATCAAGTACCTGCAAGACCCACCTAATGAACCTCTAAATTGTGATATACAGATAACAGATTCACTTTTTCCCTATATCCTATGGCTTGCAATTTTAGGATATATATAAAATAAAAAAAACTGCAATTTATAAAATTAGATACTGAAAAAAATCATCTTATTCAGCAACCAGATTAAAAGGGAATGTTCTATACAGAAGTTATTTCTTATTAGAAAATCCATAATAAGAAAAAAGGCTTATCTATCACTGGTACTCACATAGCTCTTTGGTCCTGCATTTGAGAATCTAAAACAAGCTCACTTTATCCAGATATCACAAATGATATTCAAATAAATTAAAAATGAAAGAGGCAGTGTTTCCCATTCTTATTACCCACACTGAACCTCTTCCCCTTTCTTTGGAAACTTTACAATAAGATATGACTTAATATGAAACAAAGTTCTTCTAGTCACTGTATGGCGTGTTCTGGTTTATACTCAGTTGATCACCAGCCCTGAAAAATGATAAAAAATACAGATTAGTTGAAAAAACTATTTCAAAAGCTACAATATACAACATTAAAATATATTCCTTACTATACAATTTTTTTTCCTACTGAGGCAAAGATGCACTTGACCGTTTGGTGATGACTGGCTGAATACAATATGTCAGAATAGCACTGTTGTATGTCAAATAACTATCATTGCTAATATGTTAAAAACAAATTAAATAACATAAATAAATCATAATCATAATATTGGTATTAATAATCTATCTACCTGTCTTCAGTAATCACCAACCAGGTGCATCTTTGTCCCAATACAGAAAATAAGTGTAATTACTATGCAGCATCACACACAAGAAGAAGCAACTACCATACATCGCACTAGAGTTTGAACCATATAAAACATCACAGGATATCAGAAGGTTGTCATTCTCAAAAAGGAGGAAAGTAGGGAGAAAATTAATGACTACGGTGATGGTTCGCATGATACGGAATCACCCTTAGAATTTTACCAAAAGGAATCGCGACTGTCTTGTTGATCTCTCTTTACTCTTAAGCTTCAAAATGAAGCCCAGGGTTGAAACAAGATAAAATGAGAGAGAGAAAAATTAACTTGCATAATTAACACCGATGATTTGTTAAGTCAAATAACTTCTACATCTGTTTTCCTCTTATTATTATGCAATTGAGAACATGAAGAAGTCTAAACAAACAACCTCTGGAACTCTACTTAAAAATGCAACAGCTAGCTAATTAGGTTAAGTCCACAGAAATTTAAGCTTACCTACAACAGCCTAAGCTAACTCGTCCAAGCTTTGGGTAACTTCCTCAGAGTCCACTTTCTTACAAGCACCCTCTTCCCTAAAATACCTAGAAATCTTCCTTGAATCACTCCATCATATAAAAGCAAAAATCACATTTTGAATTAAAGTTTTTTCTCCACCACACTTTATGGTGTGCTTCAAATGAAAGCTTCCATTTCAAAGCAAACTTGGGTAACAAGCATGCTTCTCCTTGAAAACCTTTTTAATTTTTTTAAGTTTTAAGAGTGAATGAGTGTACGAGTGAATGAATAGGTGTGTGCTGTGTATGTGGTATAAGTGCATCTCTGTGTGCACACGTGCATGTACGTGTGTGCACATGGTGCCTGTGCGGTGCATGTGCGATGCCTGTGCAGTGCCTGGGCGATGCCTGTGCAGTGCTTGTGCGTTGCCTTGCAGCACCTCTGCGATGCCTGTGCAATGCTTGTGCAGTACTTGTACAGTGCCTATGCAGTGCCTGTTTGGTGTCTGTCCAGTGCGTCTGTGATGCACTTGCAATGTGCATGCAGTGTGTATGCTATGTGCATGTGCTTACATGCCTGTGTCTGTGTATTGTCTATGGGCCTATGAATCATTGCTTATGTGTCATTCGTATACTGTTTGTGCATAAGTCTGAGTGTGTGAATGTAATGTATTGTAATGGCTCTGTATTCTGTTTATATCTGCATGTGTGTTGTCTGCATCAGTAATTATATGTGTCCACTGTTGTAAACTAATCCATTTTGTGGCATTGTGATATAGAAACAGGACAAAACACAATATCACATCCTCATGGAAAAATGTCACTTTATATAATCAGACACATTAGTTCAAATCACATTAGTAAGATCAAACGAAATGAAAGCAATACCAGTAAAAGTATTCTCTTATAATCTTACTCAATTGTTTAAATACAATATAATCTACAGGTGTCATATACTTTGTAGCATGAATCAAAAACCCAAAACGGGTATTACATTGCCTTTATTTCATTTAACATTCACAAATAACAATAGTAAACATTATAAAATCTGCTACCCAACACTGTTGAGCAAATAGTACTGTGAAAACAAATTCAAGATGTAGAGAAATTTTAACATAGTGTCAAGTTAAGCTGAGCTGTTCGGTGTTGTCATTCAATGCAATGTATTGTACTGGCTGTGTTATTATGTGTTTTATTGAGTATGATCCTACACAGCAAACATACAGTAGCAAAGTGACCCTTGCTATTGTATACATCTATCATCCACCCAAGCCTTGGGAATAACATTACCCCTACAACCCTTCCCCACAAAGATGTAATATCATATCACCCACCATTTACGGGTAAACTGTCCATTTCTACATTCACTATAAAATGCTATTTTCTGTTGATCTGGGCTGCAGCATGTTGCATCACAATTTGCACCTGTGATGTGTGTCATTTTGTATTGTGTTGTGTCAGGTTTACAAGGACCTTCATTCTTCCAGTATTTAGCTATGTGCAGCATTTGTAAGCTTCATCTACCTGTACCCATTAATTTATAACTGCAGTGGGCACAGGTAATCACATATATAAGCAAGATCATAAGCCCTCTTATTTCTTTAAATGTCAATATACATATAAGAATGGCTATTCACATAGGTGCATGGTGAATTACGGGGTGGAAAACAATCAAATTTTTCCTCCCTATAGAATAAATGTATTCTGTAGATATCATACATTTGCCTACAGAAGGGAGGTGTAAGAATTCAAGATAAAAAGAAAGAAAGAATTAGATTGAACAATAATCATCAACTATGGTTACATTACTATAGCACTCTTACTAGAATTAGGTATTACGTACTTGGGACATGGTCCTAGCAATGTAAATAACCAGCTGTGCTTTCCACAAGCATTATCAACTACAAGCTATCACCTCTAAAATCCAATACTTGCACCCAATGTATCCTTTAAGGGGATTGTCATGAGCATACATAATCAAGAAAACAATTCTGGTATGATGAAATCAACCATGGTGAATTGCTATAAGAAAAAAAAAAATCTAATCAAAACCTTCCTTGCTCTTAAATGAGTTCACACAAAAGTTATTAAAAAACAACACTCTCTCTTTTACATCCTTCATTCTTTCTTGATCCTATATATAGCAACAAAGAGTTTCTTTTAGGAATATGATGTGGGAAGTCATTCTGCAAGTCACAATTTTTTTTTCTGTTTAGGAAAATTACAGACCAAAAACAGACTTCTTTTACACCTATTTCATAACTGGTTGAGCACACTCATATTTCACCACAATTATTAGCCAGTTGCCCATCCAATTTACCAAAAAAAATTGACTATTAAACCTTTTACATGACAGTCCCTTTAATTTGTATTCTACGTGCTTTTCACAGTAAATCTCCATCACCAAGACTGCAACTTACCTCTTCCCAAATTTGATGTGGATAATAAGGAAAATGATTCCAAGCAGGAGACAGATAGCTCCCACTGTGATGTATGCAATACCGAGGAAGTTATTTTTGCCACCTAAGAAGCTGGTTGTGGAGAGAATCATTCGCTTCTTGCCACCAAATGAATCCACTGGGTAATTGTAGTCAACTTCCAAATAGTAACGATCCTATGAAAAAAAATGAGATAAAGTTTGATCTAAGGTTGATGCCAGAGATATAAATGCTAACAAAATAATTACAAGTGATAATTCTAAATGATGAAAATTCTGAACTAAATTCTTTATATTTAAGGAAAATTTAATTCCTACTCTCCTTGTATTTTCAACTAAGGATAGAAGTGCATCATGACAATCAACTGTAATTTTTGCAAATATTTTGATTTTAATATTAAGCCTTCCTGTGTGTAGGAAGAACAGAAAATGAAGAGGCAAAAGTGGAATAGGAAGAAGTGACGCTGAAGGCATAGCAAAGAGGTGGATGAAAATACCTAAACATCATTGTGGTTAACTGATCAGAATCTAAAATTTATACATACTGCAGGAAGTCCATTGATGAAACCCTCCTGGCTGTGGTCAATTTTACGGTAGAGTTTACGGAAGGTGGGAAAAGCTGCACTGCGCATCCAGACAATCAGGTCCTCATTCCTATAGCCATTATTATCAGGGTCATCTGGATCAAGCTCCCATACACTACGAGTCCAGTAGAGAGGCTTTACAGTGTCTTTGAATGCTGTAAAGAAATGCAATCAGTCTTTTAGTGTCTGCCCTTTGTACTTGCACTGCCATACCTAACAAATACTAGTAAAACTAACAGAAATTAAGAATAACGATGTTCTTATTAATTTATAGGATAATGACCTCCTATTGCTGATGAACAAAATATGATATTTAGAGAATGTATGGAGAAAGAATTTGCCTCTACACCTTTCTCTACCCCACTTGGTACTTCTCACTCCCATTCACTCTCATCCACTCATACTCAAATCTTGCTCGTTCATGCTCTCTCACATCTACCACATAACACTACTGCTCAGCTCTCTTTCACTCCTTTGTTCAATCAAGCTCTAATGTTAGTCTCACTCTTACTCATGTTCACATCCATTTTTGATCAATCACAGTCATTGTTGCTCACTATCACTTATTAACTCTTCATATAATCAGGAAAGAACAGAAACAACACGCCTCTTACCACCAGTCTCATTCAAGGCTCCTTCGGGATTTCTAAATTTCAACTTCGATCTGAGGGCCAAGCAATGCCTTTCTTGATCAACTTTATGTTTTCACTGTCCTTTTTCCGGAACAACCTCAACGTGTCTGTGAACAAAATTTGCAAGTTAAGAATATAAGAATATACATGAAAATTAATATCTCCACAATACAAGAGATGTATTTGACGGGTTTCAAACGTATCTTTTGTATTGTAAAGATATCAATTCTCATTCATACGTTTTCTACATCAAAATCAATACTTGTGATGTATCTGTCAATCTGTATAATAATATATATCACAATACGAAAAATAAAAAATCTTTCCATACCATTAAACATTGAGTTAGCAATTGCTCCACAGGGTGCAAAGATTTTATCCTCAGAATCAGT